CTGCTGACAGGTAGGAAGCTTATGAATCTCTCTCTTTCTCATGGTTTATATTGTCACCAGTAATCCCTGATAAAAGCATGGTCTGACAGAGTAGAGGTGAGCAGAGTTTCTGCAGTGTGTGTGTATGCAAAAGGCAAGATTATATGTGTAGTTTGACCACTTAGGATACCTTGGGTGCATGGTAGAACTAAATGCTTGAATTGGGGGATGATTGTATGAATTAGCTGTAGCTATTTTAATTCAAGAAATAAATTATACAATCAGGCTATTTTAAAATGAAAGACCATTAACAACAACTCTTTCTGAAACATCATTGTGCAGATATTTCAGTTTCTTCAATATTCTTAGACCTTTGATTATACTTTTGATTTTCAAAGCACTTTTAACAATGAATGAATCAAACAACTCTGCACCAACCCCTTTTCCATAACTGTGGCTGTGAATATTAAAGAGAAAAAAATGAAGAAAAAATGGTAGAACAAACTAATAGACAGTGGAAAGAGGATTTCTTAGACATCCAGCATAGAGAGATTTGCCATGCATACATATCTATTTCCCACCTTTATGCTGTCTCTATTCATCACAGTAAAGTTCTCACATTATTTTACCTAAAATTCTCCTCCTAATAATTATAAAATTAGTCAGAAGAAACTCATGTTCTTGTAACCATATAAGACTAGAACTACTCCCCAGTAAAAATTTCTGTCAGCATAAAGGAATGACCTATATAAATACAGTATTTTTTATTATTCAGAACTTTCTTCATTTTTTCCAGTTTTTCCCACCACTCTACTTAATATTTCTGCATGTATTTTGCCAAAACAAATTCAATATCTTTGATGGTATGATGTGTGTATAATTCACTTGTGATTTTTCAGTTAAAGAAGCTATCCCAAACTCAAGGGTGTTATAACTTTTTTCTACTGCTACTCCATATTTTCACTTATACCCCTGTGTATTCGCATATGCATTTTAAATACTTCTCTGAAACACCAATAATCACTCTTTGAAGTACTGAATGGAAACCAAAAGATCAGACATTTTTAGTTCATGACTTTTCTCTCACTACAGGAAACACTCTGAGATCATAATTTGACAGCAATTTCTCTTGTCTTCCAACCCTGAGATGTTTTCCACAGCAATATTTATTCCAAGTAGGCAGATTTTATTGGGAAGTGCTGTTAGGCCATAGGTCGTAGATCACCCAACAACAGGGAATATCTGCAGTCCCTGTTTGCTTCTGGGATGACAATTGTTAAAAAGGGACATGAGAGGTTTCACAGGTTCAAGGGCAAATACAGCCAATGGATTTGTGGCTTTAAGGAATTTGACTTCACTGTCTGCTGAGGTAAAAGCTTGAAGTTTTTCCTGTGATTATGTTATTAATAGGATCTCTCCCCTTCTGGATCCTCTCATTCAACAAGTTTTCACACAGGTACTTTTCATGTAAATACACATTTAAGAAACCCAGTCTGTCTGAAGGAGTATGGAAAAAATCCCTCACCTCAGTCTAGCTGTCTGCTTTCACCAAGATTGGAGGAACTTAGTTCTACTTAAAACATCTATTTTTCTATCAAATTTCACTGAAATCCACCAACAGGCTGAAAAGTTAGTGGCACATGCACTTCAACACACACAGCTCATTTCCAGAGGCAACCAGGCTAACAATACAAATCTGGTATCTTCCTTTTCTACTCAAATTGCCAACCTGATAGCTTTAAAAAGTGAAGCTCCTTTTTCTCTTGTTGCCATGTGCTACAGCAAGGTCTTCTCACAGAACTGACTATAATACCACAGACAACTTTTATAACAGCACATTTCAGAAGGAAAAAGATTAAAACTCCTACAATAAACTCCACTTCATAGTTCTGCTTGCAGGATGCAGCACCTCCCTCCTCAAAGAGGAAAGTCTTCCCAACCCATTGGTGTCTCTGCAATCCCTCTCCTTTCCCAGGCACTTGTTCCCCTGCTTGCTCTCCTGCCAGCCCTGGTGGCCCCTTTTCTGTGAGCTTATTTTACTCACTAAACTGACAGTGAATCAGACCATGTAGCTACTCATGTCTGCACTTTCTGCTGAGATGAACAGATTTCCAGAACTTTAGGGCTTCCTTTCCCCAGAATGATGCCTCTGATCTGGAGTACCAGCCCAAGAACCACAGCAAATGTGAAATGTGATAAATGAGTGAGGGCTGGGTAAAAGAGTAACACTCTAAAATAAGGCAGGCCTTCCTTAAATGTGAGGTTAAAATGTCCTGCTGTGCCTCTGCAAGATTGAGCCTCTGCTCAGCTACTTGTTACACAGTCCTGGATTCAGGCTGAATCCAAGCAAAGTTTGGATCCCATGTCAGGCGGGCAGTGCTCCACTCCTCTCGCATCTAGGTCTTCCCTCCAAGAGAGGCCAAAGGGCTGAGCAGGATGGATTCTGTGGTGTGCACCAACCCATGTCACTGGCAGGGGTAACACCCACCCCTAGCTGTGGGGGACTCCTGCAGTGCAGTCACACAGATATAAATCCAGGTATATAAATCCTGGAAAGGGACTGGGAAGCACATGAGCTCAGACAGCCAAGAGTCTAGAGTGATTAGCCCAAGAGAAGAAGCAAGTGGCTTCCTCTGAGAGTCACAGTACAGTTTTTAAGATTTTTTTTTTCATGATATTGTGTCATTTTAAGCATCATGAAAAATAAAACAGATAGATCCTCCAGTCATTCCTCAAATACACCACACTTTCCCTGGTTAGGAAGCTTGCCCAGCTTCCCTAGCACAAGATCACTGAAGGCAGGTGAATCATTATAAGGAACTGGACTGATGTGGTTATAAAATGAAGCCTTTTATATTAGAAACAGGGTATATCATAAACCTGTCAATGAACACATGGGGAAAAAAGTACAAACTGTCAGGAGAAAATTATGGCCCAGAGATAAAATTTAATAGTGAAGTACTTGACAAAGTACCAGACTGTCCAGGCACAGTTGTACCTCTTTCCTAAGATACACAAAAAGCAGCTCAGTGTATTTTAAGGCAAATAGTTTCTAGCTTCAAATTACAGAAAAACAATTTAAAATTTATAGATTAAATGCAGAAGCTACAGATCTGTCTGAAACCCTCTTACTATAGTGACACCCTAATGAAATTAAAGCATTTCTCTTGCACCAGGTATGTTAGATAGAACACTTGATCCCAGAGTATGGAGTATTACAAAAAGGAATAAATGAAGTGAGACTTATATCCAAAAATATAATTTAAGTCCCCAATGCACCAAAACCTCAGTTATTTCAGTAGGTTCCATAAATCTAATTTGGATAGGACTATTGTCAGCAAATTCATAGTACAACCACCAAACATTCAGAAAGCATTACTTTCACAAAACCTCATGTGCATAAAATGGAAAACATTTTAACTCTGCCTCAGCAATGCCAATATAACAAAGGGAAGAACCTGAGAGCTACAGCAGGTGACAGATTGACTGTTTCTTTGGAGCAAAATCTCCCAGTAAGATCCTTTTTTCAAATTGTGCAGCATATTCCTAGTAAATCACTGAAACTACAAACAAAATTCTAACTGGTAAATTTGCAAAAAATATGTAGGCTGAGATGAAATGTATCACCACAAATGAAATCTTTTTCATTCTCTTTTCTCTGACATGTGCAGACCTTCTGCAAAGAAGGAAAGAGAGCATTATTTTGCTCAGTACCCAAGGCTCTGTTTCCATGGGAAGTGTGTGCCAATCTAGAGCAAGTAGTTTGGTAAGAAATGTGATTTGTGAACGCTTGCTTTCCATAGTTTTGCATGAGACGCAAACACAGAGTTTTGTTTCTCTGCTGTCTATTGAAGTATAAGTCCAGATCAAAACTTTGCCTTTGAATTTAGGGCATTGTAACATCCCCATTCCCAATTAAATTATTCAAGTTCTAATATGGGGATAGGTTAGTATAAAGCCTTTACTTCCAGGACAAGCTGAAAGGCTTTATCAGGGCCACTAATTTCATGGAACTTAACTGAATGCAATACCTTTTAGACTTTTTCCTATATCTCAAATGATGTTGCCTAATTACCTATTGTGTCCAAAAACTCTTGAGTTGGAGCTCTGACAGAGAGAAACACAACCCAGCTATTTGAAAGTTTTTTCCTTAGGAAATCAAGGTTAAAATGCTTTGGTTTCAGGGTTTGCATACATTTTTTTTCTTTAAAACTAAATGCTATGATAAACACAGGAAACAAATAGGCAGATTGAGTCTGAAATTTGCACTCATTATGAGCATTTTATGAAAGTAAGCTACAAATAGTAATAAACCTCCCACAAGACAAAGGTGGCTGTTGGTAAATATAGAAGAATATCTAAGAAATGGGGAGAAGTGCAACACTGAGTCAAAGTGTCAGGCAGCAAGAATGTGAGAAGTGTTGATTATTCCTTCTTTCTTCAGAAGAGAGATATGCTACTTTTATATGATTAACATTTCATTCTGGTAACCAGACAACAATGCAGCAAAGGTATAAAAGTTCATTTTTAGCTGGTAATGGTAAGCATTAGTTCATCTTCTTTTTTTTTTATTGCAAAAAAAAGCTAAGTACAGTACTGTGGAACCAGAGCTTTAATACTCTCCTCAGCTCTTCACACAAGCCTCAGTGAAATCTGGGTCCTGTCATAGCATGACAAGAAGATAATCTGTGTGGGACCTTCCTTTCTGATTAGAAGGTGCTTTCTCTTAATCAGATGGAAAGAAAGTCTCTTGGTAAGAAACCCCTCCTCCTCCAGAAAATGAAAACAAGTCTTTAGAGAAAGGCTTAGTCAGAATCTACATGCAATCCAGGTTAAACCATTTTCCCTGTGCCTTATAACTACCAAATGTCCCTGCATTTGTGTGGCTCCTTCACTTCCTCTGAAGCAGTGTTTCAATCCAAGCAAGATTTCACCCTGCAATATGGGCCTTTGTAGCATTAATATCCTAATGGTCCTGGATGCTGCAGCTCATCAAGTGTTATGTACTTTGTCATCTCCAGGGAGAAAGGAAATAAACGGGCGACTTTCAGCCTTGGCAGCTGTAAATCTGTTACCAGGATGAAGAAGGCAGATGTACAGATGTGCTGTTCTGTGGAGCTACTCCTGATTTGCAGAGGTAAGTAGGATCTGGCACAGGTTTGTGGCTTCTATCCCATCAGAATTCATTTATTTAGTGAGAAGAAATAGAAGATTATTTACTTCATAACAACTTTCAGAAAACCCTTCTCAACAAGTGCTAAGGAATGCTGTGTTCTTTCCTACTGCTATTTTTCCTGTCTTCAACATGAAAAAGCAAAGCCTGGAAAGAGGAGACAAGCTGAGAGTCCTACATGCCATTCCAGTGATCCATGATCCTTTCCATCTTCTCAGAAAAGAAATAGATATTTTTAATTTAAAATACTACCTCTAAAATCTTTAATTCTTCTTGTTGCTAGAGGACTGCCTACTCAGGAAAGATTAAAATAATTTAAAATTTTGAAGCTAGTTTCATTCTTAGCACTCTGCACTGTGTAGATTGTTCATTTACCATCTTCTTATACGTACAACCGAAACTCAAAGAATAAAAACTGCTTAGTTAATTCTATGAGGATACCTATGTTGCCTAGATTATGTAATGGATATACTGAATCAAAATACTGAAATTAGAAAAATATTATTTCTTGAATACTTTTTGAATTGCAATTCTTTCATGTAGATATGAAAGACTTAAGTCTCTCAACTAATTTCAAACACAATTCTGATAACTATCATCATTATATTGTAAATAAAATAATGTAACATATTGGTTCAGAAGGGGGACAATTGAACTGGAAATTTAAAATAAGGTTATAATACAAAAATCACATGAAAAATCGATCCAAAAAGCAAACTGCTTCTACCAGGATCATTCTATAATTTCTGCTGTGGTCTCAGCTTTCACAACTGTACATGCACCATGTCCTGAGCTACAAGCTCTGATGCGACACAACCCAAAGCCTTCTCCTATGCCATCTTGAATCCTGTTCAGACAATGACTTCACAGAGCAATGGAAAACACTTTTTTTCACCTGTTTGGGTTCTGATTTGAAGAGGATCAGTATGTTCTGATTGAGAAGAATCAAAAGGGCTGCCTGTTTCACAAGGGAGTTTCCTGTTTGTTTCAGAGTAGGAAATAAGCCTGAAACCACGTAGTATTTCTCAACAAAGTGCTTTGCCAGTGGTGACCACAACATTTTCAAACTGTTGCTCTGGAATGGCTCATCTTTCTCTCAAGGTAACAACAGAGTTCACTAACACTATCCAAAGAAAATAATTGTGTTTTCTACATTAAAAAAAATAATAAATTACATCAATCTGTCAAACTATGGACCTATTCTCCACAGAGAATGCCAACTGCCAGTAACACAGGAGGCACCTGAGCCCCACATTAGAAAAGGGTGTAAAACAGCTACTTGTAAGGGGTAGCACCACTAGACTACACAAAAGGCACCATAGAGGTCTTCCTACATATTTAAACACATATTCAGACATATGAAAGGCTTATAAAAAACATACCATACTATACATGTAATTAAGTAAATATTTATATGCCTTACATATACTGAACCTTTATCTGGACAATATTAATTATCATACTAACATAAAGCAATAAGCACTAATGACAGTTCCTACTACCATTGTGAGAAAAGAAGAGGCTGAGAAAGAAGAGCAAGACATTGGACATTTTGAAAGAAATCAATCCAAGAGCTTAAAGAGATAGTGATTTTCATTGCAGATTCAAAATGAAATTAGTACACTTTTTTTTTTAGCAACCAGGACCTTTAAAGGGGCAATTTTGTAAAGAGAAATAACACCTTTGGATTTTTAATGTATGTTTATGTAAAATGTGAGTGGCAGTTCCATGTTAATAGACCTTGTTTAGGGGAAAAAAAAAAAAGAAAAAAATTCAGTTGCTGAACGATGGTGAGTAATTAGCCCCTTAGCATCCCCTTTCTCCAGGAATGCTTCCTCCTGAGCTGGCTCTTTTAAATAGCTCCGGTCCTGGCTGCCTTTGTTGAGCTTGAAAATTGTGCACATATGAGAGAAATTAAGCCCTCATTTAACAGGGACACATGTCTGTCAAGTCCAGAGGAACAAAGGCTGGTCCCTGGGGGCTACTCAGCTCCCTGAGACTGCCACTCATTCTGTTAGCAATGCTTACCCTTTACAGATTGTGTATAAAACCCAATAAATCATTTCATCTGCTCTGGTTAATATACACATGAGCCTGAGACTTCCTTCAAAGTTGTTTTTTTTTCTTTTTCTTGCAACTCCTCACATTTATTAAGAAGTGACCTCTCTTTGCCAGAGTTTAGCCAGGTTTTTACCTTTATGCAATAATATTAATGTCTGTGAAGTAAACCTGAAACATTTACTGTCAGAAATAAAGATATTTGATGCGGCATCTATTTCACACAGGAAATGTTTTATGACTCTTTAATGGCCAATAATCATCAGTGTCTATTGTATAAATTACTAGTAGATTCTGTTCCTCCTAAAGTTATGTTTAAAATGCCTGTATATTTCAACAGATAGCAAAATGACAGGGTAAATAAAATAACAGATTTGTAGCCTTGCATAGGAAGAGACTCTTTTCTTAATTAAAACAAACCAAAAGGAAAGTAATAAAGATAGCATTTTAGTTTTGTTCTTTACAAAGCACTATCACAAAGACACCTCTATGTTGTCCTGGATAAATCAAAAGAAAAAGGACTCTCAAGATTAAAAAAACCCAAACTTAATTGCACAAAGTGATAACTGAAGTAAACACATGCAAGACAAAAATTTTCATGCACAATATATCACCTGCCTCTGAGCTCTCTGTGGTGGATGGACACACTTATCCCCAAATATAAATTCACACACAGAGCAGAGGAATATTTTACAGTTACAAAAAAAAAGGTAAAATGAAATGCTGTCATTTCCACGTGAGCTCCTTTTGTATTTAAAAAGAGGGCCTAATTCTTTACTTCTAGTATTAAGACTGACATAAATGGAAAGAACATGAACAACACCAGCTGAGGAAATGGCACCCTGCTCTGCATTCAATGAAGCAAAACTCTCACTAAGTTGAGCGTGAGTTTTTCCTTATACTTGAGCATAGGATTAAGCCAATACAGAAAAATTACTGGTGTAGAATAAAAACAAATTAAAGTGCAGAGTTGTATCTTCTTTCCCTGAAATGGTGAAAGAAATATTTCAATGCCTGCTATTAACAGGGGCCTTTTTTTTTTAATTTTGTCCACTCTGCAATTTTTAGCTAACACATTGAAAGCCTGCCATTTCTCAAGCAACAATATTATGCTTTGTATTGAAAACCACAAAATAAAGAGGGCTGACTGTTCTGACAGCTTTAATCCTGATGATACTTGGAGACCCAAGTAAAAAGAAACTGGTACAGCATGGAGTTTTCCCTGCTCAGCAGGCAGAGAAAAAGCAGTTCTGGATTTGATAAGTAAAACCAGATATAGTTGATGGTTATATGCTAAAGCCCTGCAATTAATGGAAAACATCAACAGTCCAATGAACTTGCATATCAGTGGGGTCTTTGAGAAAACCTTTTCTCCCATCTTGTTAAAAACTCATCAGCTGTACAAGTTGGGACTTTTATTTTTTTGTGTAAAGAATCGTGCATGTTCCTCTGTTGTCAAAGGAGAAGACATAAAATATCAAGACTCCAGATCCCATTTATATATTAAACAAACCCCTGTGCATGTTGTTATTGATATTCCTCACTGCAAATTCGTGCCACAGTAGCAATGAAAAGCACCAGGCAGGATTATGCCCTCAACATGAGGTGCTTCACAAATATGAAGATGTGGCCCGCTTGTCCTGAAGGATCTGACAGAAAAAAACTGATGTGGTTTTTGTTCAAAATACCAATCACAGTTAAAAGCCATCCATCCTTAGACTGTTATTAAAGGCTACAATTCAGTGTATATTAAAATCAAGATATTAACAAACAATAACTTTATAAAAACAAATCTCTGCAAAGAAAACATGATACTATTATTTCACGCCCCTGTAATCCTGAAAGTGACAGAAATGCAATCAATAGCCCATTTCTTAGTAAATGCTGTAAAATGCAATGTACAGTGCAATGTACATATTTGCATTGTTCAGTTCAATAGGGATCTACACCTTTGCCTCCACCACACAAACATTTCTGAATAATTGACTGAACAGGCACCAGAAAGGGAAGTGACTGTGTCTACTATGCAGCCACAGTAACAGTTAGGAATGATTCTGAAAGTGTAAGTAAATGAAAAGCAAGCCAAAAATTATCAGCAAAAAATAAGCGTGCCACAAAGGTAGTCTTCATTCTGGAAAGAACCTAGCAAAATCTGATTTGAATTGGGTTCAAATTAAAAGCTTTGGTTCACAAGCCACAAAACAAAGACTTTGTTTGAGCAGAATTTGATTCATTGCTCAATGCCTATATCAGATATACTTGGTAACAGAAAATCAGTTTCTAGAGTTGGCCATAAGCAAGCATTACCCCAGGGTGGATTTTTCCCCTTGAGCCGAAGTGATCAGAAACTCTGAGCCACTTTATCCACCTACTCTCTACAGATCAAAATGCAAAATGTTGCCGTGAAAACAAGGGAGAATATGCAAAGGTGTTATACGCTATGTATGCCACTGACATAATACTTTAATAGGATATGCTGTAATTTCCTGCAATTAATATCTTAGCAGAGCTATAAAGGCTTTTTTCCAAAATTATACCATTGCATTTACAACACTAAAATTAACGTTGTGTCAACCTTTCCATTATAAGCCCCCTTTTTCAGAGGTTTATAACTTGGCTGTAAAAATATATTCTGGCCTAAAATGTGGCATGTAAGATCCCCATTTAGAAACAGACATTTTGATTAAATAAAAAACATTATTTAAGTCTGTTTCAAGTAAGTCTTGAATGCCCTACAAAATGTGTGAGGGACCGCCAAGAAGTGTAGGCATTCTTCGAATGAAAACTTTTCTCTCCACAATAAAGCCACTGTTCAAAGGATGTTTCACGGCCACGGAATTTGCTCCACATCTGCAAGGAAAACACATGGATTTGGGAAACTGCAGACTTCAGTGAGAGGAGCCTCC